CCTGTCTGAGCGACTCAGCTTACCCTGTTTTCAGGCTTTATAAGCAAGTACCGGTGATCCAATTAGAGCCAGATTTTTGAAAGCCACCATGTGATTGGATATCCATCATTCAATACTTGCTCTGTTACCTGACTTGCCTGTCTCACGTTGACCTTGTTTGATCCTCTTGCTGCTTCCTGGTGTTCTGGACCACAACTGTTTATGACTACTTACTACCCCCCTCAGACCTTCGGATTTCTCTTCGGCCAACATCATCTCTCTCTTTGTTGTAAAAAAGTACTTTAAGGGGTCTAAGTTTAGTTTTTAGCGGTTAAGTGTATAACTGACACTCAACCAGAAACTGAGACCAACGTTGGTCTCGTTATCAAGCATGAACTGGGCAATAAAAGAGATAAATAAAATATGATGCTCCAAATAAAGGACAATCATAGCCTTAAAGTAGAAACTGAAGGAGAAAAATGACGAATCAACAGTGAAAGAAATTGGATAAGTTACCTTCCAGTAGGCAGGAGAATGTCTACTGGGTTTCAAATTTCGGCACTGTTGTGTGGCGAATGTTGTTAGAGATGCTAAGACCCACCTTATGTTGTTTCTGATTGGTTAATATTGTGTGGAGCTTTCTGTAGGTGGTTATGTTTTGGTTTGGTGATGGATTGATTTGGGATTGGTTATCTCAGTTAGTCAATCAGAGTTACTCCAACTACGGCAAGCGGTAATGATTGAGTATTGAAAGGGGAAATGGACCAGATTGCCTGACTGTCACACTGAATGCATGAACCTTGGCAGCCCTGCAGATTTAAGTCAGAGTAATTCAAATACGGCTTGTGATGGTTCACCTTCCTGCCTATAGACAGAGTTCTGACAGCTAGACGCAGTTGTCCACAGCAGTCAACCTATTGGACGTTTTTTATGTTAGAAATTCTGCTGATGGACAGCTCTCCAATGTCTCCAGCCCACCAGAGCTGATTCCTCTCACAGTTAAACAGAGTTGCTTTAACTCCTCAGGCAGAGTTCATTAGAGAGTCACAGCAGACAGTTAACGTGTGAACAGCTGAGAGCCATGCAGACAGATTACTTCGCTCAGCTATACAGGAACCACAAACAGCTACAGGAAATGGTTTTATTAAAGACAGAGGGTTTAAATAGGAAAGCATCACAGTCCAGTTAGTCGGTCTTCAAAGAACCTGCAGGGAGAGGAGCTGGACATCCTGTCTGCTCATAGAGAGGCGAAAACTACATCCTCAAACAGGCCCCCAGGGAGACAGCAGACATTTTGGTAAAATGGGTAAATGAAATAATTGATGAGCAGGAAGAAGGGACAGCCATGGGGGTGGGGAAAGCACTGCTCCAAAACAGGAGGAATAAGAAAGAGGAAATGTAGAAGAGGGCAGCCTTCATGCAAAACATGTCTTCCCTGAATCAGACTTTAAAATACCTCACAAAGAGCTTCTCAGGATGTGAAAGTGAAACAGGCTGGGAGAGCATCCACAGCACTGAAAGATGGCAGCAGATCCAAACAGAGACTGAATCCCCACCCCCCCCAAAAAACATGCCAACAGCCTGGTTTCCACTCTGTGCCTCGCTGCATGATTTAGCAGGAAAATCATGCAGAACCACTTTCCCTACTCATCCCTTTAACTTGGTGCAGCTGCAGTGACTCTGCAGTACTTGGTCTCTGCCTCCAGCCTGGCAGAACCTCTGCCTGCTCATCCACAACGCCCGGCCACAGAGCACACCAACTGATCTAAGATCAATGGAGCAGAACAGAACTGAAACAGAGAGAATGCTCATTGATCTCCTTAAATGGCTTTAAGGTTCATTTGTTTAAAAAAAAGTCAAACCTGGGGATGATCTGTCAAATAATTACAACAAAGACATAATAATAATGTTAAAATTTAATTGAGTTAAAGCTCTTTATATGACAGCTTCAGCAAACAGACTATGTCCTGGTTTCAGTTCTATTCGGTTTATTTCTATAGCTCCAATCCACATCATCTCATCTCATTTAACATTATAGATCCAGGTCAACCAGATCATCCAGTCAGATTAAAGGTTTAAAGTTTTGTATCTAAGGAAAACCAGCTGATAGCATCCAGTCACTAATTTTTACAGGATTCTCTCCTCCTGGATGAGAAGGTAGAAACGGGGAGATCGGGCCACATGCAGCATCATTTTTGTTCCTGTCATACATTTCTCTTTTCCTATACTGTGGGCTTTTACCAATGTGCTGCATCTGATTTAAGAAACCTTATTAACTTAGGTAAATAATCGTAAACTATCTTCATAAACGTTTCTAAGAAATGTAAATCTGCATAATCACCTCCCCAATAATGCCATATAAGCCTTTGACTTCATATGACCCTAACCCTAACATACACCTGTATGTTCATTCACAGAAACGACAAAAAAAACTTCAAAGGCTGATAGATGGAGGATCTGCTGAATTAAAGGACAAATAAAAACCAAGCAGTGAAATAAATCGTAAGAGCTGGAAATGAGGAGAAAAATCATTTGATCTGAAAACGGAGAATAAAAACTCCTGATTGAGGCAAGACGTTTAACATCTGATGTAATTATAGTATATCTGAGTTCACCATCATCCAACAGGACAACATTCCCCTAAATGTGCTTTTATTTCCCTCGCTCACCTGTACTGACCATCTCCAGACCCTGGCTGTCATCCTTTCATCCTCTCTCCATCGCTCCCAGACAGAAACATCCAGATGTTAACCACAAAGCTCTAATCTGACAAAGTCAGACATACGGGGGCCCGGAGGAGTCATGTCAAAAACAAAAGCCACAGAGGAATTCACACAACCTGCAACAGAGGTAACAGACTTGCTGCTCATCTTGAAAAGAAGGATTGAGAGATCTTAATTTTTCTCTGAGCTTCTCTGCTTCCTCCACCCCGTTACCCCCAAACTCTTAAGTTATCCTGGTCTGCCATCTATTCCCACAGACAGAGGAGCAGAGACCTCTCCAACTCCGGTCACCATCGGTCGGTCCTCAAGGCCTGCTGTCCTGCAGGTTTTAGAGGTTTCCCTGCTTTAGCACAGCTGATTATAATGATTGCATTAGACCAAAAGCCTGTTAATCAGCTTTAAATTAAATTAGCTGTGCTGGAGCAAGGAAACCTCTAAAACCTGCAGGACAGCGGGCCTCGAAGAATGAGGTTGGGGATGCCTGGCCTAGATGACCACCTTAAAGGACCTAATCAGATCAAAAGGGCTGTTTTTGGGGTGTTATTTAACAATGCTTTTATCTACACATCGATTTGGACAATTAATGATTTATTCTTTCTAAATTCTTTCTAAAAAACAAAGTCATTGATTCAAACTCTGAGAACATCATGAACTCCAGTTGACATGTGTGAGTTGGACTGCTGGCTTTGAAGTCTTCAGTCATCTATTTGTTGATCTATTTCTTATGTTTTAAAACTGCATTACCCATAATTCATTCAGGCCAATATATTATACATTCAATATATTCAAGTTTGATTCAATATATTTTGACTAATGTCAATGTGAATCTAATAATAATTTCCTAAATGCCATGCCATAACACACATTACACTGGACCATGTTAAAAGGGAGGGATTTATGAAATTTGTAGCACAAATGCGTGAAATATCTGGTATTCAGATATTAAAAAGAAAGATCTTTAGATCCTTAATTGTAAGATGAGCAGAAGGGACAGTTACTTCTGTTGCAGGTTGTGTGACTTCCTTTCTGGCTTTTTTTTTTTTTTTTTTGTTGCCCTTTGACTCTTCAGCAATCCCTCACACTACACATGCTTGTAGCGACAGTGGAGAGGAAAACTCCCTTTTGAACAGGAACAAAAACTATTCATTTAAGAGGGAGTTTGCCCAACAAAACAAACAGGTCCAAGTCCAAGCGATGAAGAAATGGCCTTTTATATAATGTCATTGCCAGGATTGAGTTTCACCCCCCTTGCTTTAATTACCATCAGCAACAGATAGGTAAGAAGGTAAGTAAAAATGAACGACACTAATAAACATATTTTCTGATCTTTTAACACGTTGACCAATCAAATCTGTTTCTGTCCTAGAATAGAAAGCAGTGTGGAAAAGATCTACACTATGAAACGTCTGCTGCTTATCTGAATGAGAGGAAACAAGCAACTGAAACAGGATGAATAATTGAAAGCTTCTAGGGAGGAGGATCACTAACGGTTTATCCAGCAGCTTCAAAATGCAAACAGACGACAACAGTCCAGATCTAGAAGCTTCTTAATCACGAAAAATTCACCTTAGCTGGAGGAGCACCAGAGAAACACAGGAAACAGATGAAGGTTCAATGATATCTTGCTTTTATCCTTCAACTTTATTATGTTTCTGCATTAAAGCCTCAGATTAGAAACTAAACCTTAACTTAAATATTAATAAACAGGAAGGATATCAAACAGTTAATCATCAAACTCCCAAATAAAATACTGATCATCTCTATAAAAATCTGCAGTGGGTTCATTTGAGAACCTGATGGGAACCAAAGCAAAATTCAACAAAATCCTTTTCATTTATGAAGAAAATAAACTGCCCAACCCAGCTGAAAATAAACCAAACATTAAAGCAGATTCATTTCAGAGCCCAGCGCAGGCTTGCAGGGTCAGAGAATAACACTATCTGATCATCAATCTAAAGTAAAGCTATTAAGTAATTATTAGCTTTTAATTGACAAACAAGACATTTAAATTCTGGCCATAAACTGACCAAATAATAATTCAGAGTCTGTCACCAACATGCTTGACTCCTAAAAACCTTCAGCTTAGAAATGGGGAAAGTTGCTGATATCGGTTTCATTTGTGTAAACAAATACTTTACAAAGATCCGCCATAGCTGCCATTGAATGTGAGCGCAGGAAATCCTTCACGGAAATGTTGACACGATTAGAAAACATGATATTTTCCACAAAGAGAAAAACCTCCAATAAAACAGCCGTTCAGAGAAAAGAGCCAGAGAGGAGCAAAAAAGTCATACTTACATCCCACCATCATCATGGCCACAGAGAAGATCTTCTCTCCATCCGTGGTGGGGGCGATGTTGCCAAAGCCGATGGTGGTCAGGCTGGTCATGGTGAAATACAAAGAGGTGATGTAGAGCGAGTCTTTGCCAGGTCCGCCCTCCCAGCGGCCCGAGCCACTGGCGTTGTATCGGTACGGAGATCCGATGCTGAGAGCCAGCTGGTAGAGCCAGCTGTCCATCTTGATGGTGTTGGTGACCTCATCGATGACCTCATAATCTCCAATACTGTACCTGGAAGGAAGAATCAGGATATCAGCACACTGATCTCGAAACGCGGCTAGATTTACAGCCAACTGATGCATCCAGAGGGTTCCATTACTTTACTCAGATTGAGGCATCAAATTATTAAAGGGGTGATAGAATGATTCTATAGGGTATTTGGTCCTTAAGGCCTCTGAATAGGGTGTGTAATACTGGTTGGGCTGAAAAGGGCATATTTGCTGTTCTATGAGCCCTAATGCAAGCCTGGTTAAAAGCTATAGAATGAAATGACAGGTTTTCTTCCTTTCATGGTATGCATATGAATGAATTCAATGATAATTATCCTAACAGTAGCAACAAGCACTCACTCACTGAAACATCAAATTGTTTATATGGTAGGGTGACCAGACGTCCTCTTTTTCCCAGACACGTCCTACTTGTCAGACCTAAAAAATGTCCGGGGGGAATTTTAAAATTGGCAGGATTTTGGTCAACTACAGTGCAGCATGTAGTCGAAACACGCCAGGCATTCGAACCAAGCTGTCAGCTCCGGGGCTGGTCAGGGAACCTGGCGGAGGGGGGCAGGGAGCCAGCGGGGAACGGAGCGACCAAACCCAACCCGGTAACAACAGCCTGAACACTCAACATATTCTCATTATCAGTTCGTATGAAATCGTACGAAAAGTTATGCACACTATTTCGTACATTTTGGACGTTTTTCCTCAAAAAAACAGATAAGTGCGCATGGGCAGGCAGACAGACAAAAAAAGCAGATCCGCGGACGGACGTAAAAATGGGAAAACCAGTGCAATAATTACTTCTTCATGTCTCTAACTACGTTGCTTGCTGTTTTATACCTTAGGGTTAGGGTCAGGGTTAGGGTTAATTGTATGTTAAATTCAAAGTTATTAAATGGTGCGTAAGATGCGCATCCGCATAAGACGAAAAAAACGTCCAAAACGTACGAAATTACGGTGCATAACTTTTTGTACGATTTCATACGAACTCATAATGAGAATACACTGGGACACTAGCGGCCCCCTGCTTCCCTCCGCCTGCCTTACCGGCCCCTGGCCTCTCTCCTCCAGCTGAGGACGGGCTGCTCATGGCTCTCTGTCCAGTCAGCGGCCCAGCAGTCAACAGTTCATAGCCACTTCATTTCGTAGACACTTCACTTATGCTGTCGTTGGACAGAAGGTCTGGACTCATTATGAATACTCTTTGTATACGCCCAGAATAGAAAAACACCATAGAAAGTTCAGCGTATGCCAGCGTTTAAGGAGATTCCGGGATGTCAGGCAGAGGCTTGCTGGGCGGTCAAGGTGTGACAGGGGCTTTGGGAAATGATTAAACCATCAGTCATTAAAACATTGTTCTTTTTCAGTCACCATCTTGCTGTTATGCTAACAGAAAAGCAGAAAGGTGCTGAGACAGAACCATTGTAAAGCCCCGCCCCCACGTTGTGATTAGTCAGTCTGATTTAACTGGAGTCAAGGTAATTGACTAGACTGGATTAGGCTCCGTGTCTGGCTGACAGAGACGTCATAATACTTCTTCCCATTTGATTGGGAATAAAATACGGATCCAAATAGAGGCAGAAGATCCACCAATGAATGGCTAAAAACCAAGAAAATAAAGCTGTGGCACAGTCAAAGTCTGAACTGAAAGCTACAGTGTGTAATACTGACAGGGATTTACTGACAGAAATGTTATATAATAAACATGAATATGTTATTTATTATCATCCACCCATCTACAAAGTCTCTATCTTTATGTTTGCCTTGCCTTAGAAAATGTTATTTACTATTACAGAGCAGCGGGTCTCCTGTTTGTGAGGGCAGACATCTTGGTTCTACGGCAGCTCAGAGGTGACAAACTAGCGGCAGGGCAGTGTGATTCCGCCTAAACAAACTGCATGAAGAGTCTAAATAATGAGAATTGCAGGCGGCCTATCCGGCCTCCAGATACAGGAGCAGCGACAGGCTGAGCTCACTGATGGAGTCTGCATTAAAATGTCCTGTTTGAGAACATGGTAATTAATGGAGGAGCAAGAAGCAGAAAGTCTAAGAGGGTAACAAGCTGTGACTGGGTGGAAGTACCAGATGCAGGCCAACCAGTGGGCCACCAGTCCAAAAACGCAGACCAACAGGACCAGAACCGCTGCACCGTACTCCAGATAGTGGTCCAGTTTTCTGGCCACTCGACCAAGACGGAGAAGGCGGACCACCTTCAGAGAGCTGAACAAACTGCTGATGCCCTGAGAAAGATGGAGACAGGAAAAGGTGAGAAGAACGACAGGTTAGCATGGCTTTCATTCAGAGAATAGAATAAGACTGCTGTGTTTTAAAGTTTTTAACAGAAATATTACTGTTTAGCGATTTAACATTGTCTTCTCTGATCTCCTTATTTTTATTTTTCTACTAGAGATTCTACAATGTAATGCCCCCCGCCCGAAAAAATGCAATTGAAGACATAAAAATGACCGCATTGTTTAAACACGATTCCTGCAGGAAGGAGCCACCAAAAAGTTTCTCAGAATTTTGTTTACACCAGTTTATAAATAGATTAGCTCACAGTGAGAAAACTGTCCTGTAATTACTGGAGATCTTTTCCATATTCCTCAAGTAATGTGGTGTAAATCAAGGCAAGGCAAGGCAAGGCAAGGCAAGGCAAATTTATTTGTATAGCACAATTCAGTACAAAGACAATGCAAAGTGCTTTACATGATTAAAATACAGGAAGATAAAACATTGAATCAAAGCAAGTAGGAAAAAATAAAAAACAAATAAAATAAAATAAAAAATGCAGAAACAAAAAAAGAATATTAAAAACAGTTGGATTAAAGAAAACATGTTTTTGTTGAATTGTTTAACTGGAACAGTCGAAGGCAATCCTAAACAAATTTGTTTTTAGTCTTGATTTAAAGGAACTCAGGCTTTCCGCACTTTTACAGTTTTCTGGAAGTTTGTTCCAGATAAGTGGAGCATAGGAACTAAATGCTGCTTCTCCATGTTTAGTTCTGGTTCTAGGTATGCAGAGCAGGCTGGAGCCAGAAGACCTGAGTGGTCTGGAGGGTTGATACACTGATAGCAAGTCTGTGATGTATTTAGGTGCTAAGCCATTCAGAGATTTATAGACTAACAGAAGTATTTTAAAGTCTATTCTCTGAGATACAGGGAGCCAGTGTAAGGACTTTAGAACTGGGGTGATGTGCTCTACTTTCTTAGTCTTAGTGAGGACACGGGCAGCAGCGTTCTGGATCAGCTGCAGCTGTCTGATCCACTTTTTAGGCAGACCTGTGAAAACACCGTTGCAGTAATCAATTCGACTAAAAATAAACGCATGGATTAGTTTTTCCAGATCATGCTGAGACATTAGTCCTTTAATCCTGGAAATGTTCTTCAGGTGATAGAAAGCCGACCTTGTAATTGTCTTTAAATGCTTTTGGAGGTTCAAGTCTGAATCCAACACTACACCTAGACTTCGGGCCTGATCAGTGGTTACTAGCTGAAGCGACTGAAGCTGTGTGCTAACTTTAGATCTCTCCTCTATTGGTCCAAAGATTATTACTTCAGTTTTGTTTTTATTCAGTTGAAGAAAATTATGGCACATCCAGGCATTGATTTCTTCTAAGCATTTCCTCAGTGCTTGAATTGGTTCATAGTCACCTGGTGACATGGTGATGTAAAGCTGTGTGTCGTCTGCATAGTTATGGTAGCTGATGTTGTTGTTTTTTATTAACTGAGCAAGAGGGAGCATGTAGATATTGAATAGGAGGGGACCCAGAATGGACCCTTGGGGAACCCCACATGTGATTTTTGTCATCTCTGATGTAAAGTTGCCTACTGACACAAAAAAGTCCCTGTCCTTTAAGTAGGATTTAAACCAGTTGAGAGCTGTACCAGAGAGGCCGACCCATCAAGTATTTTGTCTGTCTTCCAAATAACTTTATGTGTGTTTCTGTTGCTAAGGGCATTTTTAAAAAATGTTTTGGTTAATTGCTTAATGCTCTGGACACATAGCACTCCGGATGCTCAGCGCTCTGGATGCTCGACCCTCATATTGCTCAACGCTCTGGGTGCTCGACGCTCTGGATGCTTGACACACTGGATACTCGACACTCTGGATGCACGGCGTTCTGGATGCTCAGCCATCTGATTGGCCATCTGGCTGCTTGGCGTTCTGGTTGCTCGGTGCTCTGGATGCTCTGCGCTCTGGGTGCTCGGCGCTCTTGGTACTCGGCCGTCTGGGTGCTCTCCACTCTGGGTGCTCTCCACTCTGGGTGCTCTCCACTCTGGGTGCTCTCCACTCTGGGTGCTCTCCACTCTGGGTGCTCAGCGCTCTGGGTGCTCGGCGCACTAGCTGCTCGACACTCTGGATGCTTGACCCTCTGGATGTCTGATGCTCTGGATGCGTAGTGATCTGGGTGCTAGGCGCTCTGGATGCTCCTCCCTCTGGGCTGGCGTTGCTCTAGATGTTTATCTGCTCTATTCAGTAGCTTTAAACTAGATGGGAGGTTGGCTTTATTTACTTTATGAGTTCGAAAAATAGTTTTAAAACTTTTTTAAGTGAGAAAGTCCACCTCCAAACAGCCTCTGTTCATCATTATATCAACTTTGTGGTTACGCCTCCCATGAATTCAGACTTGGGAAGGAAATACAAGAACAGTAACTACAGGAAGTGGAATTAAAGGAATAGGACATTTAATAATGTTTTTGTGTCATCTGGGCTCTTATATTTGCTCCTTCTGGGATCAATAAGATCAAATCACTCCAACCAATATTTATCATTTAAACAAACCTGGAAAACCCAGATCATGATGTCATGGCTTTTTAAGCTTTTTGATTGGTTAGTCCACCTCCTTTTTCAGGCAATGTAAACATCCTCCTTCCTGGTCTTACATCATATTTCTCCACAAAAATCTTTTAGTGTCCTTTTAAACTCAGATGATGATTATAGATCCTCCATCTCTGTGGTTGGAACCTCAGGCTCTGTAAAGTAATATTGTCCCAGACCTAGAGCAAGCAGATCGCTTTTTTTAGCTATATCAGGCTTGTAACTATGTAGATGTATTCTTTTTTTTTTCTGTAGCGCCTATCTGTAGACAATAAACTTCGATACAAATATCCCTCCAAGGTTCTACAAGAAGAGAAGGGATTGTTTTTCAGAAAGGAGGAGTGTCTCTGCAACTCTCTACTCCTCTAAGCTAATATCTACAGACATTACAAAGATTACGGTGTTTCATTTCAAAGCAAGGAGAATAAAGCAGCTGAAGGCAGTGCCAGCAGGGGGATCTAATGATGGAGGCTCTGATGTTACGTAAGCAGACAGGAGACTGCAGAGCTGGCAGAGCAGTTTGCAGCAAACTCATCACTTTGTTCCTCTAAGCTGCAGACGCCCCGTTTATTACTCTTATTATCAGAGAATGGCTCTTTGGCTCATTAATGATGCAGATTCCTCTGTTTATAAGAGTTTTGGTTTGGTCCAAATCTATATTTAGTTCATACTCAGTATCTATACTCACATTAATGATTGATCTTGTATTTTATAGATGTTTCTATAAATATAATACCCCCCACCCCCCACCGCCTTCCCTGTATTAACTTTAATGTTAACCCTTTATAGGTCAAGTTTCTGTATACCCCTCCCGATCCATCAGTAAGGTCTAGAAGCACAGGTCTATATAGCCATTAAGCAAAAATGCTGCAGCAAGAAGGTTCTAGGTTCGATTCCCAGCCCGGTTCTTTCTGCATGGAGTTAGCATATTCTTCCTGAGCATGTGTGAGTTCTCTTTGGGTACTCCAGCTTACTCTCACATTCCAAAAAGATGACTGGCTTGATGATTGGCTTCTCTACATCCTCCTTAGGTGTGAGTGTGAATGGTTGTTTGTCCTGTTTGTCTCTGTGTTGCCCTGTGATGGACTGGAGACCAGTCCAGGGTGGACCCTTCCTCTCACCCAGCTGGAGATAGGCAACAGCACCCCTCACCACCCCAGCAGGGATAAGAGTGTCAGAAAATGGATGGATGGTAAACAAGTTAAAAAGTCAATACGTTTAAAAAGTAAAATATGTGTATAAGCATTTGTGCTCTAAGGTAATGATGAAAGAAGAGAAATGTTGCCGTTTCTTGTTACATCCACAAATTTTTGCCATCAGAATAAACAGATTTTTTTGATTGAAGGCAACAAGATCTTGTCCTCTATCGGGGAGTGTTGGCCTAGTGGTTAGAGCAATGCGCTTGTGCTTTCAGAAGGTTGTAAATACCCGGTTTGATCCCCACAGACTGCCACTCTGAGTCCCTGTCAAGACCCTAAACCCCACACAATTGCAGCCCACTGCTCCCCAAGGGAATGGGTTAAATGCAGACAGTGAATTTCACCATTGTGAGACAGTAAAGTTTAATTTCTGTTTTGTTTTTATCAACAGTCTTGGCTTGAAATTTAGATTTTCAAAGTATTTCACTGAGTATTTTGTGTGTCAGCCTGAAACAGGCTGGTCTTCATAAGGGTTTGAGTCATTCCTGGAAGAAACAGCAGAGAGCGAACCTTATACTGTTGCCTAAAGACACTAGAAGATGGACAAAACAGTCGTTCTCAGAGAGACAGTGACACCAAAGCCAAATCAGAGGTTAAGGAAGGAAGTGAAATCTGAGTACGAACAGAGTACAAACCTCACTTCAAAGAGCAGAAAGCCCTGGTGAACTCAATGGTAAAGTGCATTGGGCGTTCTGGCCGGCCTGCAAAGACCATTGAAGATGAAGACTTTGTGGATATGATGACACAAGTGGACAAAATGTTTAATGTGTACAGTGTGATATATGTTAAAAGGAGAATCAGTGTGTGGAGAAGTTTTATTCTGCACATTGTTATATAAATAAAATAGAGAAAAAGAGAAGCAGTGTGTGGAGATGTTATATTATTTACAGTGTTGACTAAAATGACTAAAATGACAAAAATGACTAAAATTTGTCTATTACAAAAAATTATCTTTGTAATTTAGACTAAGACTAAATTGGGAAGGCATTGACTAAATATGACTAAGACTAAAACTGATTTACGTCATTGTGACTAAGACTAAATAAAAAAAGCTAACGAAATTAACACATACAAATGAATCCAGTAGAACGTTGTATTGCCTACCTAGAATGAGTGACAATAGTTTAATAAACTTTTGGCTCTCAAAATGGTATCGGTGCCCTATTTGTTGGTATTCAATGTTACCGATACAACTATTTTATTGCAGTATCGGGGCCCCGTCTAATACTGGTATCTGTATCAGTGCAACACTAGTGGTAATAATATTAATAATAATGATAATGCCTGCCCACCCTCAGGAAAAAAGGGTGTATATAAATATGGTCTCAGTGGTCACAATAAATGTTGATTAATGAACCCTGAAGTCAGAAATCTTTCCGTAGGATTTGTTATCAGCATAGTAGTTCCTGTTAGTTCCTGTTGGATTATCATAGAAATTATGTTAATGACTGGTGAAGATTCTCAGTCATCAAGGTCATAGTCATTCCAGAAAAGTTAAACTAGGCTTTGTTGGACTACTGAATAAAGCCTGGAACTCAATGCTATTTCAGACGTTTTGATTTCAAAAAAGCTCCCTGGATGGGAAGCTAAATGTCTTCAGACTTTGTTTCAAAGTTTGAAGACTTTTTTGGGAATTTAAAGGCTGGTCTGGGTAGGGAACCGACACATTTCTACCGTCATTATCTGTTCAGGTTTCCTTCATCTCCACCAAGTCAATCAGGTTTAAAACGTCTCCCCTTCCTCCCATCTTCAGTCCTCCCATCTTGATCTCCCTCCGCCCTCTGGTCACAGCTTACATTCACACTTCCTGCTTTCTTTTGTCTCTGTTGCCACGGTTTCAGTCCAGGTGCACAGCCTCCTCCTGGTACCCTCAGCTTGACCAGCTGTATCCATGACAACACGGATGTCACTCTCAAATGTCAGGCCAGATTAGTGTTCTCCTCCTGCAGAGGTCCGCTGTGAGATCCACCCAGGCGGCCGTGATCCTCTGGGACAACAGGGAGCTTCAGACCTACAGGGGGTCTGAACACAAACACTCTTCTAACCTATTTCTACAGCCTAACCCTAAGCTCAGTCTAAACTCAATTCACACCTCAGTCCTAAAGGTGACCACTGAGCCTTACCACAGTTCCCCCAGAGTTCCCCCCATGGGTTCCAGGCACTGGGCCCATATGGAACAGTCGGTCCTTGCAGCTCTGTGCTTGTCTCTGCCCCAATCCTGAATAGCTCTGATGCTGTGAGTTTACAGCGTTTCTCACGTAACAACAGACGCTGCTGTGAGGCACTGTCCCACTGCTGCAGAATGTTTTGGAAGATTGGAAGGTTTCACCTGAACTGCTTTATTAGACTTATTTTAAAAATGTATTGTCACATTGTAATGAGGAGTAGCTTAGCAGTGAAATGAACATTTTCATTTTATAAAGTGCAGCCAGGATAACCGAGGAGCTGCTCTAGAAGAAGCAGATCAAGGTTCTGGCCTTGCCAGGTTCCAGATCTAAACCCAATAGAGATCTTGGGAGGGAGCTCAAACTCCATTTATCTCAGCAACAGCCTAGAAACGTGACTGATCTAGAGAAGATCTGTGTGGAGGAGTGGGCCAAAATCCCTCCTGCAGTGTGTGCAGACCTGGTAAAAAACTACAGGAAAGGTTTGAACTCTGGAACTGCAAACAAAAGCTACTGTAGAAAATATCAATGTTTTCATATACTGATCAGCAGCAGTGGCATGCAAAGGAATTATTAGGAAATCATGCATTTTTGAAATACAACAAGAGAAAAATAAATAATGTGTGTGAATCTGCTTCTTCAAGCTGATACAGCGAAGCTCAAGCATTGGCTGAAACTGATGGAGGATGTCTGCAAAACGGAAAGACTTCTGCTGAGATCACAATCAGAACTTTATAAAGAAATGCGGTAAAAATTGAAAAGATTTCAACAATTGAAGCATCTCTCTATCATCTGAAATGTTTGATCATTTTCCTCATTGTTGTTTCTTTTACTGTCACTGTTACCTAAAGCCCATGACGGTTCAGCTTGATCTCTCTTTAAGAAAAGTTAACCAGCTAATAACTAAATATCACACACTGTGATGTGGATTTTTTGTTGGATTATGTCTCTCACAGTGGACACAAGTTGAAAATGTCAAACCCGTCCAGTGGGAGAACTTTCCAGACCGCAGGGTGTTTATAAATACTGATTTTCCTTACTGTACATCGTTTTGCATTGGTGAACAGGGCTGGATGACTGATCCTTAACTTTTTCTGTTTCCTCTGTTAAGACAAATTCCACAAATAGGTGGAAACACACTGAGGACTGTAATGTTTCTGCATGTATCTGGAATTTTATGTCAAACGTTTCAGTAGAGTCACGAAGACTTATGGCTTTCTTACTGATTTACTTTGAGACTTGTTGTTTGCATGAAACAATTTAACAAAAATCACTAAAAACCTTGAACTATCTCTTTAAGACAGCTTGATTAAGATCGACATTCCTTCCTCAATTAAATTGTTACCTCTGAGAGCGACATACCTCATCCACGTTCTCAAAGGCGTTGATGATGTCATAAGGCAGGCAGGACAGCAGATCAATGACAAACCAGGTCTTCAGGTAGTTCATGCGGATGAGTTTGGGATCAGAGATCACTTCTCCACCTGGACCCACAAAGGTGGTGTGGAAGTTGAGAACGATGTCCACCAGGAAGATGACATCCACCACGCTGTCCAGCACCAGCCAGACGATATTGTTCTGCTTCGTCTTGAAGGAGACGTTGTAGGGCACCATAATGGCCGTGTAGAAGGTGAGGATGAGGATGACCCAGTCCCAGGTGGTCTTAAAGGTGCAGTAATGAAGGATGATGTGAGGCGGCGTCTTTGGAGCTTCCTGTTTGTACTGTGGAAGGATGTCGGAGTTCAGCTGTAGAACCTGAAGACAGATGGAAACGGATCGGTGGTAATCTGACCATGCCTCTGAAATGCCCAACCAAAAACCCACAACTGAACCTCCTCTGGAACAGGCCAACCATCCAACAGGCGCCAGAGGTGACAGCAAAACGAATTTGATACGCGTGACTTTGAGGGTTTGCAGAAACCCTGGTTGTGGTTCTGTTGAGTGTGCAGACAGACATACTGAAATAGTTTGTGCTTAAATAAAAAGCTTTGCTCCATTATCGGAAAATGTTCCATTTCAAGGTTTATTAAACTTTGTACCTTTAATTTGAACACGAGATTATGAAATGCTGTCCAGGTTTATTAAGAGTCGTCAAACACAAAGGAGACGTTTTCCATTTGTAGGAGGAAATGTTTTGAACTTTAGTCAGAAGCTGAGGGGAAAGTGGCCTGTTTGCTTCTCATTAGTTCATAACTGCTTGTAGTTCTACTAATATTCATTTTCATATCAGTACCACAGTTAAAGGTTTGCAATTTAAGACATCACCCTACATTCCTAGCATGTTCATAATTACCTATGTGATGTGTGGCTGTGAGGTCTTATGAAGAGCAGTTCTCCTCCTAAACTGTTTGTGAGTGTTAATCTTTACTGAAAATTATTACAGGAAATGAGCCCGGTACTCCCTGCAGAATGAAGACGACATTAAATCCAGCAGGGAACCATTGTGGATCCTTTGCAGGCCATGCACACCACGCACATTAAGCACTCAACTCATTAGTCACACAAGATATGATTCTGTTTGCATCTAAAGAGATGAACTGTAACATGTTCCACTGCTACGACCACAGTAATAATATTTTCCCACTATTTAACAAAAAAGTCCTCTATTACGCTGCTTAAAAAAACTCACATTAACTTTAATAAATGAATTAGCTGTGATCATGTGACTTTGTTAAGCTGGAGCTATTATAAAGGAAGCTGAATATGGACATAGCTCCTTTAGCTATGCCAATATTTTCACTGTGGTTTTCTGTGATTATTCATAACAGTGAAGATTTATCACTCAGAGCCAGATCCACATTATTAAACAAATACTATTTCCTTTGGTAGGTGAAACTGATAACCACAGTTTAATTACTTAACTGGTAACAACTGGATTTTAACAGCCGATCTAGGAGGCCAGCGTTAATGTAAAAGTCTAAAGATCCTTGATGAGTTCAGCTGTTTGGTTGTCATCTAGCTCTAGGATATCTATTCTCAAGCAATGTTGGCAAAACAGGAAACAAAAAAGAACCCAGGTAGGTAAGCAGATATCATTGATTTGAATATTTTGTAGGAATTAAAGGAACAGCTCTAGACTGGTTTAAATCTTATCTATCTGGTCGATTTCAGTTTGTTCACGTTGATGATAAATCTTCCTCATGCTCCAGGGTTACCTGTGGAGTACCACAGGGATCAGTGCTAGGACCAATTCTCTTTACTATATATATGCTCCCAATTGGTAGAGTTATTAGACAGCAAGGGATTAATTTCCACTGTTATGCTGATGATACCCAGCTATATCTGTATTTAATCCAGATGAAGCTAACTCATTACATACATTACAGGCATGTCTGAAGACATAAAAACCTGGATGACTCTTAACTTTCTGCTCCTGAATGCAGACAAAACAGAAGTTATAGTCTTTGGACCAGAGTCTTTGAATAAAAAAGCTGATCAATCTGTTGAACCATCCATCCCACCTGCTCTTAGCAGCAATGATTTTATGGGTTTCTTCATAAATAAGATATATCTTATTAAAAATAAGATCATTAGCACTCCTCTAACTACAATTGGTTTATTTCTGGAAGGTGAGGCAGCATCTGAGGAAGCCATAGTATCTGAAACTTTCAGAGTTAGCAAAACTATTATCTTCATGTAAGCCTTCAGTTTGGATGTTAGATCCAGTTCCATCCAGGTTATTTAAGGAGGTATTCCCTTTGATCTCCTCCTCCATTTTAGATGTGATTAATCTATCCCTGTTACAGGGATATGTACCAAAGGTTTTTAGACTTAGACTGATTTATTTTGTCATTTTGTATACACAAGTGTAAACAAAAAGAAATTTCATTTAGAACCGCTCTCTAGACTAGGTAAGCAGCAGTTGTTGTTGAGCTGCTACTTCTGCCTCCATAATAGACTTGTATCTGTACTTGTCCTGTTGGATCTCAGTGCTGCATTTGATACAGTTGATCATAATAATTATATTAGAAAGTAAACTATAGAGATAGCTCAGGATAACCTGAGCTCCTCTAACTATAAGGTTTATCAAAGAGGAAAGTTTTAAGCCTTGTCAACAATGGGTGGTAAGGTTGCTTAAGGACCCAGATGCAGAGCTGAGTGAAGCTGAGATGAGTTCTGACTGATTTAATTAAAGAACACAGGAAACAGGGGTACAAATCCAGAAATCTAACTAAAATGTTTAACAAACCAAAAACCATGGAGACATGAGGGGAAAAACGAGCCTGAGGAGCCACGGGGAGACGAGCTGAGTAGACAAGTACAGCATTGAGAAGGAACCAGCACTGAGTGACTGCAGAGGTGGAGTATTTAAGGAGAACAGAACAAAGGATGGACTACTGAGCTGAATAAGGAGCAGGTGTGGGTGGAACTGGCAAGAGGGAATCCAAGGGGAAAGAAAACAATCACAAGGGGGCAACAGAGAGTAACTACAGAATGCCTGAATATCATGGAAAATAAAAACAAAACAACTGATAACAGAAAACTGAAAACTCAGAGTCACAACAAATGGGAAGAACCATAACAGTACCCCCCCTCAAGGGCGGAGCCCAAACACAAAACAACCCACCCAGGGTGGGTGAAGGGGGAAACCAGGAAAGAGGGCAAGAAACCAAAAACAAACAGAGTCCAAAAGCAAAACAACCCACAAAAGGTGGGAGAGGGAAACCTTAAGTCTCTGGAGTTCAGCCGTGTGGCCGGAGGCGAGGAGAAAGAGTCTCTGGAGGCTGGCCGTGTGGCCGGAGGCGAGCCTCTGGAGGATGAAGGCGGGCCGCTGGAGAAGGCCAGCAGCGACGCCATCTCTGACGAAGGAGGACTGCTGGAGGAGGCCGGCGGCGACGGAGGGCCTCTGGAGGACACCGCCTGTGCAGCTGCAGGAGTCGCCTCGGGGGGCGCCGTCTCAGCAACAGGAACCTTAGGAACCGCCAACTGCGGCACTGGAACAACCTCAGAGGGGGCCGCAGACTGCGACACTGGAACAGTCTCAGAGGGGGCCGCCGACTGCGGCACTGGAACAGCCTCAGAGGAGACTTGGAGCACTCGCTGAGGGGCCTTGGAGGCTTGGAGCGCCCGCTGAAAGGCCTTGGAGGCTTGGAGCGCCCGCTGAGCTGTAATTCAGAGAGCCTTTTATTAGTGTGCTCAGGGATATCTGGACGGCTCAGAGCGGGCCCAGGGGTCTCTGGTGCTAGGCTTAACGGCCCTCTAATGGGCTCAGGCACTGGGGAAACTGCCCCGCTAAGGGTTTTGGATGATCTAATTTTTGAATATGTATAGAACTAAACCTGAGACTATGCATCATTAATCAGGCTTGCCGGGTATTAAGTCATTTTTGGAAGATCATCCCACCTGCTCTTCCCCTCCTCAAGGGAGACGATTTTCAAATAAGCCAAAAAAAGACCTCAAGGAGGAGCAAAGACTTTTTCCTACCACTACTTGCTGAAGCATAGAATATGTAGCAGTTTAAGGTGCGTGCAGCATAACCTCCATCAGGTTCTCACACAGTGGTTAGAGAGCATGGTGACTCGTCAGGGGGGCCACTGATAACAGACACATGACCTTTATACCAATGAAGTTAATCATCCCAACAAATGCCATGCACAGCAGGGAGCTTTCTCTGGGGAATAAATGGAGCAAACAGAGATCTGTGTAAGGAGAGCGGCACCGGTTCAGTCATTCTCTCCATAAAGTTCCCAAAACTCGGTCTGTCATTACTTCATAAGGAAGTCTTCATTCCCTGCTGATGATGATGGAGACGTTCAAAGGATCGAGCCCCAGCAAGCTCCAATTACTCTCCCAGTGGGACGCTGCCTGGTAATAAATAAAGGAGAGGGTGGTAATGAAGAAACAGCAAGCTTCAGGATGATGCTCCTGTAGGTCTCAGGATCCTTATCATTGCAGATGCCAATCAAGCTACATCTGCTTAGAAAACATCTCTTTGCTGTGCAGTGATGTAAAGTGAAGAACCTGGAATCTGTATAAAAAGGTTTTTACTGCACGTCAGACACTTGACTGCTCCTCTACACAAGACGCCAGCTGTGCCTTTAAAGGCTTTAAGGATCGGCTGCAAAAGCCAGCAGCTCACTGCGGTCATTATGCAACTTTCTGAGAGGCTGTGAGCCGAGGGAGGAGGCCACACCCACAGCCATGCCATGCTCTGCCTTAGCCTCCCTATCTTGCTGCTCTGTTCCTCCATGTGATCCTTTGTTCTTTTTCAGTTTCCCACCTTTTTCATCTCCCTTTAACTCGTCTCCCTCTTTGGAAACAGCCTTTCTGCTTTTTACCTGATGGGCCAAGGAGAGGGGAGGTCCAGATGGACTCACCATGAACCCAGAGTGTCTTAGTTGGGCCTTCATGAATAAAATAGGAGGGTTGCTCCATAATAAACAGACCATTCCTCCCAAATTCAAGCAGCAGTTTGAATGTTTCCCCAGCAGCCAGTTTCTGTCTCACCGCCCAGCATGAAATATGAATGAATGCAGCAAACCGGAGGAGCAGAATTTGGTAGGAAGTTGAATTAGGCTTATTCTTTTTACTTTTTTTATTTAAAAAACTGGTTGCTGTTGTTTTTACAATGGAAAAACAATCTAGAAATAAGTAAAAAGAATAATAAATTTAGTGTATTTCCCTTAACTGCAGGAGGTAAATAAGATGGAATGAGTAAAGCCAAAGGAATTTGTATTTTTAGTCTAAGAATAATATAATAATATAATTAGATAATATGCAATTGCACTTATTTTAAGAAAATAATTAATTATCTAGATTTCGACTTTTTCCAGTGTAATGCTTTTTAAACAAAAAATATATATTTATATGGATATATAATAGGATTGCCCCCAAATAAAAAGCAATCAAAATTTTTTTTGCTTGTTATAAACAATAATGGTTTGTTTAAGTTTTTATAAAAATGTGGAAAACAAAAATGTTATTGGTATATTGTGTAACTATGGCAGAATGTTAGCGCTCTCTGACAGGTGAGACCTGTTGTTGTTTGAGCCTCTACACCCTGGAGGGTCCGTTTACCACCGAGTATAAATCATCTAGAGCAGAACGGCCTGATGATGTCACAGCGGCCGAGATGTTCCCTTAATAAAATCTGTGGCGTTGAGCGATACGGTGAACGGGAAATGTTTTGGGAATCTGTAAAAAGAGGAGCCATCATGTTTCGGTGTGCAAATGAGCCTGAAAGGAAAACTCCAACATTCACTATCGTAAGAACAGCAGCAGTGTTAAAGGTAATTAAAAAATAATTTTGTCATTTTCTCTGTTTTCTTAGGTAAGCATTTTTTTTCTAGGACAATCATACATGCATGAATGAAAGAAAGAAACAGTACAGGAAAAGGAAACTGCACAGAGGAAATTAAATAGTTAATGAATATGGTTAATTCACCATAGTAAAAATAATCTTGAAAACTAAAAGATAATTGATAATAATGTTTATATCTCTCGGTCAGAGCCTTCTCTAATGTTATGATTTTAATGTTCAATGCCCATCCTATCATGATCTTGGCGCTGATGGTTTGTTTTTTTTCCTTTGCTCGTTGCTCCCCTGTCTAATTGGTTCTGCGGCTGATTAACGCCAATCATTTGCACCTGGTTCCTCTGCTATTTATGTTGTGTGCTTGCCTTCCATCGGCGCCAGGCCCCATGCCAGGTTACTCTGGCATGGGAGCTGGCTCGGAGCTCGTTTGCCTGGCTCTGTGTTTCCTGGACGGGGCCGCCTTTTACAGCTGCTTTTTGTTTCTCTGCTTCTGTCTCCTTGAACCCCAGTCGGCCTCTGCAGATGGCCACTCACAGTGAGCCTGGTTCTGCTGGAGGTTTCTTCCTGTTAAAAAGGAGTTTTCCTCTCCACTGTCGCTACAAGCATGCTTAGTGTGAGGGATTGTATTTGAGTCAATGAGTCAATGCAATCAACTGGTTTTCCTTAGATAGAAAACTTTGTATCAATTTGACTGTATGATCTGGTTGAACTGTAAAGTGCCTTGAGATGACATGTGTTGTGAATTTGGCGCTATATAAATAAACTGAATTGAATTGGTGAGACTAATTCTAGCTTTCGGAAGTCTGTTCTGTTTTCCTGATGGTGACCTGTTTCTGCCCTGTGGATCACGAGTTTTGCCTTGCTCCTGTCTGCTCCGTTTGTCAGTTCTGTTTTGGATTTATTCCTGGATTCCACCTGCTTCAGAACCTGGACCTGTCTTCTGACTCTGGCTTTGGATTTCCCCTTTGGACTCGGTTGCTGCTCGGCGTCGGCTGGCACCTGCTTCGATCGCTCTCTAGAAACTCTAGGGGCGGCGGCCGATGCAACTGCAGTCTAACCTTCTGTCTAGATTCAGCTGTTGTCTCCGTGAACGGACTGAACTTTGAATCAGGTCAGTGACTTTCCTCCGAGTCATGATCTGCGCCACATCCAGTCACTGACCTGTATCTCCTCTCTGCAGAGATCCGCCCCGCAGCTGACGAGCAGCCCTGCGCTCCTGTTTGTTTTAATAAACGCTTTGAACTTTCCCACTGCTTGTCTCGCCTCCAATTCTGGGTCTAACATTCGGTAGATCATTACACATCCAGCTAGGATGCCACATTAATGTTGTGGATTTATATTCTATTCAATTCCCAGCCAGCTGGGAAATTATATTTCTCATACTTTAAGATGATTATTGTCCTCCCCGGTAGTGGTGGTAAAATATCTTATTTAATCACATATTATTTCGGCTGTTATATACGGGTTATGAACACAGGCCCTAATAGCTGTGCGTTAGAACAATAAATGAAAGAGTGATTTGAGCTCTAATCATGGTCAAACAGTTAATTCTGCATATACATAAATTAACCACAACTTCTGTTCAAAATATAAGAGTTTATGAACGAAAATCATTCAGCTCCAAGTCAAACATATTTCAGTTTAACTAATTTAGAGCAATTGGAATGTCTTCAGACCAGTTCACAATGCAAATCCATGAGGTGAATAAAACATTATTTGGCCAAATAATGTTTTATTCAATTATTTGCTTAATCAGGAACCAATAATCTTTAGTCAAATGATTCTTTACCCTCTTTTAAATAGCTAGCAGCGAATAGACATCAGGATTCCATTACATGACTGTTGGTCATACTTGGCAATGGAAATGTAATGAGCATCTGAGGAACACATGAACACTAATGTTATATCATTGTTTAGCCCTTAGTGAAATAAAGCTTGTCCAAGCTTCAGCAACAGCTCAACACATGTTACTATAGAATAACGAAGCATGCCGTTCATCCTGTTAGCTTCGTCTTGACTCATCAGAAAACACATGAAATGATCAACATCCTCAAAAGACATACTGTTTGTTCTATACCTTATTATGCCAGACCTGGAAACGTTTTTGTCCATTTCCATTTGGAAGGTTGAGTTTTCATCCAGCAACAGCTCAGCAGTCAGGCCACAGAAAGGCAGTCTCTCTCTGTCCCAGTGGCTCATCAAGGCAGGCTTTCTCATCCAGTCTGGATGATGAAGTCCCACTGTGTCCCTGTCTCTCTGAGGGTTCAGCTCTGAGTTCAGATTTTTGATTGGTGGCCTAGTGGTTAGAGCTTGGTATCCTGAGGTTCTGAGTTCTAGCCCCACTCCCACAGCCTCCACTTTGGGTGAGGAAGACCCTTAACCCCACACTGCTCGCTGGGGGCCGCACAATGGCAGCCCTCTTCTCCCCAAGGGGGTGGGTTAAATGCAGAGAGTTTATTTCATTGTTCTGTGCTTGTGACAGTGTAATGACAATAAAAACCTCGGAGAAAAAAAAGATCTAGAGCCTGATTGCTGCTTCTAGCTGGATCAGCTGCAGCTGGATGCTAACTTTGAAATGTTCTTCCTTTGGTCCAGAAACTATGACTTCAGTTTAGCTTGATTCAGCTGAAGAACATTTAGTTCATCCATGGGTTGATTTCTTTGCATTTATCCGGAGCTGGGATGGGTTTATAGTCACCTGGTGACATGGAGATGAACAGCTGGGTGTCGTCTGCATCGCTATGGTAACTGATGTGTTTAAAACCAGAAACAGACCTGTTACCTCGGACTGGTCCTGCTGGCTGCATTCATAGGAGAACTGTTTCTGCATTTAGTCCAGCTTTCCTGTTTCAGATCATTAAACCAGAGATGCAGAAATCAGATTGGATATTAACCCTGATATTGACTAATCGCCTGGATCAGATGTTGGATGGATGACGCTGATCCAGTCATCTCTATTTTATTCATATCATACACAGGAATAGTTACAGCAATCTAGTGACTTCAGTTCTATCATTGATGACATCATCATGCAGAGCAACACAGAAGCTACTGATGATTCACATCTGTGTTTATCGAGCTTGATGCCTTCAGTCACATGGCGAGGTAAATGGTTAAACCTTCAACGGCTGGATATGGGCCGAATCCCACAGCCAATGTATCAGGAATCGGTTGGTTTAAAAACAGTGTATCAGTTCATCTCTACCTTAAACAGAACTTTAAAAAGAAAACAAGCAGAATAAAACCAAAGAGCAGGTTTCCCCTGTTAAAGGGGAGGGCAACTTTTTCATGCATCCCTTCTTCAACACTCCTGAAATAAATTAATGGTTGATGGTCAGGCCTTTGATTAAATTACTGACATACCAAGGAGGTAACTTCGCTTTTTTATTCAGATGTGTTGGAGCAGGGATGTATGCGAAAGCTGCAGGACAGCAGCATTGGAGGAGCGACGTGGCCTAACCCCCGGTATAAACCATCGAACCTTGCCTCATGAGGCATGTGTTTGTGTGTTGGGGGGTCCACTCACCTCTGCCAGTCGCGACTGTTTGTGGCTGACTTCGTGTTTGCTGATAGGAGCCAGCTGCTGCAGCGTGTTGCGGTTGTTGGTTAGCACCCGAGTGAGTCGTGCTAATTTTGTCCATCCTGTAGAGAAGAAGAGATTTCAGTTTCAGAGAGTAGATCAGCAGGAGCCTCATGCTCTAACATGGTCCGCTTAAACACACCAATGCTGACACAGTTCTCATGGTTTGTCCTTCATTCATTAAAAGCTCACAGGACTTCATAACTAAACCGCAACCTCCATCATACAGGTTCTTTATCACAAACAGCTTATTTCCAGCTGAAGGTTGTACCCAGCTGCAGCACGAGAAGTGATGTGTTGTGATAGAAATTCCACTATTTTCCAAAAAAATTGAATTCTATCAAAAATTCCAACTATTGACACGGACCTCAGAGATCCTTCAGTCAGGATTACTTATGACCTTCTCTCAGTCCTGCCTCAGGATGCTGAGGTAAAGCAGAGAACATCCTCAGCTGGAGCCTCAACATTCCCCAGACCCAGATCCTCTGTCAGCAGCCCACCCCTCCCAGCCAGTCTTCCCCTCATGGACTTCCTCCAGATTTATGTGGATTTTCTAGGCAAGCTGCAAAGACAGCAATGCTGCATATTTGAGAGAAGCTGTGAGTACCAGGCATATCAGACACGCCAGTCCTCCAGAAAACCTGCAGCTTATCCACCAGCAACTCCTTCATCACCTGCAGGGGCTGATCATTCGTGGCCTCTGGAGATGTCAGCAACCTGCATTTCAGTATTGTCCTTCAGTACCTCTGCTCCCTGCTCTGCTTAAGGCTGGGTGGGCCATTTACAGTTCCTGACAGCCAGTATCCTGCAACAGTTAGATATGCCTTTGGTTTAACAACCCTAAATCAAATAATTAGATGATTGAGAGGATTCTGGAGGAAGTGACTGCAACCTGAGGAGGTAACTCAGCCATTTGATGCAGGTGTGTTGGACCAAGGATGCATCTAAAAGTTGCAAGAGAAATGGAATTGCCAACCACTGACTTAAAGTGTGGAAGCTTTTTCAGAATAACTCAGCAGAAGTTTGGTTGTCACCAATTTGAGCCTCTCTTGATGTTACCAAGACCATGACGATCGAGAATTTGCTTAGGGATGTTCACAATTATTATTTTTTTCCCAAAATATTCTATCACAGCAATTCTTAACACTCAACGTGGATTCATTTAGAACTGATCAATGTTTTTCCACTTCAACATTTAAACTGATAAAAATAAAAACACCTAACACTATGTATACTAGGAATCCGAAACATTTAAATATGGCCGTTAACTTTTAACCAGTTCCTGAGTTAACTCTTGACCGTCCAAATGACCCCCATTACCCCCACCCCCACCCCTATTTACCAAAACCTGGACCACACCTCTTACGTCTGACTTTTTTATCTCCAGTGCTATATTTTCCAATACCACACTAACTGCAGTCCATATAGAGAGGTTCCTACTAGGCAGGGTGAGCAGATTCTGATCTGTGCAGATTTGTTTTCACTTCTGTTTGACTGGGTCAGATTATGGAAATTAAAAACATAAATAAATAAAAACAAACTGCTGGTGCAGCAACTAAGTAAAACCCTACTTCATGACCCGCCTGTTGAGTGTGCTGTGAAGTCATATAAGATAGATATTTAAATATATATAAATTATTCTGTTTATAGAAATGTTTTATTGAATGTTTATGTCTGATTCGGAAAGGCTAAAAGCTGACTATTTTCCTTGCGATTAAGAGATTGAATTTTGTATTTTCCCCAAAAATTGATGTGTTTTACTTTGTATGTCAGACCCAGGAGGTGGCTGCCGAATCGCTTTGTCGTCAGACAATAATAGAGCTGAGGTCTGTCTCAGTCGGAGCTATGCGGGCTCCTGGAGAAAACTTTGTGTGGGTGTGTTCATTCCCATTAACTCAATTAGCGCTAAGTGCCACAATCTTTACAGCATGATTTTTGTTGGATCAGAAGCAAAATGGTGCTCCGTGCGTTTAGGGCTTTATTGTAATCAAATCATGTCATTAAATTGTCACCTCAAACTTCCCTGAATAACTACTGAAATAGAGGCGCTGGCTTCTGTGGTTCAGTGACAACTGAAAAAAAAGAGCCTCCTCTTTGCTGTGTAAAGGAAGAGGATGACATGGATCACCTGATCAGCAAGCATCTTCCTATAATTTTGACAACAATGGAAAAGGAACCTGCCATGTTTCCCAAGGTAACACCCCAGTATCAATCTACAAGCATTCTGTCACAATTCAGAATGGAGGACCTAGTATTCAAGGCAAGACAGACAGTGGAATTACTTCACAAAGTGTTTATTAAAAACAGGCAGATCTGTAGTTGCTAGGGCGTCTAGGGCAGTAACCTCTAAAGGAGAGAAAAAATGGTTAGTGACCACAATAATCTGACGGAGGATTATTATGAAGGCATGAGTGACTTAACTGATTTAACAATTCAGTGCATTGCAAGAGAAAGAGGGTGGAACTAGCTGGTGGGCTGCCAACAAGATGCAGCGGGCACCTCCCCGAGTGTCCCAGATGCTGCCGCCCTGGGGAACATGCAGGAGTCCGAAGCCAGGCCAGGCAAACAGATCAGAACAGGAACAGGCAGGCTCAGTGGTTGAGAGGTAGAACAGGTCAGTGTCAGGAAATCAGAAACACCAAGGAACAAATGATGACTGGATTCAAGTACCTTAAATAGAGGCAGGAGCAGGTAGGTCAGATGAGAGGTAATGAGCAACTGGGCAGAGTTCAACAGGTAAATGGAAAGAGTAATGAAGCCAGTCATATGTGCCAAGATCATGACACATTCAGGAAATGCATTGGATTCCCCCAAGAACACGATATTTTCTCTATGTTGGGTGAAAATGCTTCCAGCTGAAGTACTATGAGAAGAGTGGATCATGGAGCACACAGACTGTTGGGATAATGGAGCTTCATTTTCAGATAGAAAGCATATGAGCTCCACTTACTTCCATCATGTACAGATTTCAACCCAAGTCTGGCCTCCCCATCCTGACCCAACCATAACAAAGAGCGAGAGACTGAGCAAATATGGCCTCCTTAAGGCATAAACCACTGTTAACACTAAGGAGTGTTTCACATATTCTGCAGTTATATTAGCTAAAACCTATAGAAGTTCTGCATCATATATCTAGCAATTGTTTTTCAGAAAAATGTCATATTTCCAGTCAAACATGCAGTGGTAGTGAGATGGTCTCTTAAAAGCATGAATTAGCCACACAACCAGAACATCTGAAAATCAGTGTATGTCCATCAACCTTTAGCTCAAGTGCTGAGCCTGGTTTTGTTGGGGGGTTCTTCCTGCAAATAAGATCAAATGTGGTTTGGAAAGTCAGTAAACACAGAGGCAGATTGGTTTTCTACATCTCATTTCAGTCGACCACAGCTGCTCTGGTGGCAATAGGCCGGTCACTCCTGCAACATGCCGTCAGCGTCTCGGCATAATTGGCCATATTGTGCTTGAAAGCAGCCCTAATGCCTTCCTTCTGTGGGATCATTAGTTTGAGAAGGTGCACCAGTTTTGCATTAAAGAATCACACATCAATGTTGGGATGCAAAGACATGATGGTGATTTCTGCAGGGAACCAAAGTTTTCTATTAAAGTCAACCCTTAAGCAGAGATGAGGGATCTGGAGCCAACAAGTCATCTCTATGCCATGTATTTGATTTCCTCAGCCACTGAACCAGGGGAGTCCAGTGTGGTCCTGGGGCATCTGTAGAACTTTAGGGAAGTTATTTTACAGCCTTCAGCAGGTGCTGAAGAAGAGTTTGTCTTCTTGATTACTTGCCAAACTGTCATGTTGAGGTCTAATCGTCTAACCCACATGCAGAAACACTCAAGAGGCAGGGAAAAAGTTAAAAGGTTTATTGACAATTTGTTCAGAGAAATGTGAACGTCGTCTTGGTTCGTCGGGCTGGTCACGGGAGGGAAGCAACTTTATACCTGATCAGAGGGTATTCTGATCAGCAGGGGGGAACCTTGTGGGTCCAGAGGCTGGTCGGCAGGCTGAGGGCTGAGGGCAGAGGCGGAGACGGAGGCTGAGGCGGAGGGCAGACAGGAAGGTTCCGGGCAGCGAGAGTTTTCTCCAGGAATTGACTGGTTACCAGATTTGTCCGGATCTGAGAGGCAGAAGAACACAGAGTCAGAGAGGTTCTCAAAAATTTTGGAAAACAGATCAGATTAGGCTGGCTCAGGTTTGCTGGTACCATTACTGGCAAATACTCTGGCAGGGAAGTTTCAGCCTCCTCCTCCTTAAGAAGACCTCTAGATGAGCAGATGGGAAACAGGTGTGCAGAAGTCAGCTCACGCCCTCAGGAGGAAGATCTCAGGCACCCTCTGGTGGAGAAAGGTAGACAAGCCTCCAGATCCCAACACAAACTTTTGTTGAGCTTGAGGGGCATTGAGTTGGACTCAGTCATGGTGGTGCAGGCTGAGGAATGCAGGCTAAAACCAAGACACTTCCTCCTTTGGCATGTTTGCAGTACTGTATGCTTCTACTTTAGGTGTGTTATTTCATGCATTTCTCCTGGTATTTGTTACATTTCCACTGTTTATTTTGTGCACTGCCACCTTTCTTATCACAACCTGCTCAGGGTCAGTGGAGTCTGAGGCAGAGTGAGTTTATGCTAATGGAAAAAAAATTATTAGTTTTCCTCGTTTAACGAAATGAAAACCCACAATGGTCACAAAAATATAAATCTGACTAAATTAATTCTAAATATAAATTGTCTAAAAATTTGGCAATTAAAGTCAGACATTGCTTTTCAACCAGGCTTCACCGGAGCGATTTTAAAATAGGAACTCATGAAGCTGAGGACTTCAGTGTTGAGGAAGAGCATGAGTTCTTTGTCGAGCTGAATGCGCACTTTCATCTGGTTTGGTCTGCCGCGGTTTCCGTAGCGCCATGAACTCGCCGGCGCACGCTTTCAGGAAATCCTATACACTACTGTTTATGCTCTAAAAACATTCTAAATGACTTTGTTTCGAGAAAAATTCTGGATGCTACCCACTCAGGACACTTGGAATACATTGGACGAGCAGTATGGAGGAATATTGACAC